TCTGTTTCCTCTGATTCAATAATGAATTTTTCTGTAATCTATGATTAAGATCAGTCTTAGAAACAGGACAGATGTGAGTATCCTTGAAATTAGACATATAATAATAACATCTTTAAAAACAGAATAGAAATCTGAAATCATCAAGTGCTATAGTTTTTTGACAAGTAATGGTGTCTGTTGTTTTGACAAGTCTTGGAAGTGACAAGTCTCCTTAAAGCAGCTACATTCTAAATCGAAGTACATACATTCTGCATTGAGATCAAAATAAACAACTGCAGTGGCTGTGAAAGTCTTAGTAATTTTGAAAACTTTGGTAGTAGATATGATTATCAATGCTATTTTTCAGCGCTTTGCATATTCCTTCATCTGCTTGATAATATGTGCCACTGTTAGCCAGCTAATAGGTCTACATATTTAGATACATTGAACTGAGGGTCAAGACTGAACTCTTACTGAACTTCATAGAAGTGACTGACTACTTACGTTTGCAATAGAAACACATAAACTGTAAACACTTCACACAACACTTTCACTATTTGTAGCTGCGATTGCTTGTTCTAAGCTTCTAATTAATCCTTATTAACGGGAGCCTCATTATTAAGATTTCGATAATGTTTACATTCATATACGTTGTAGGTTAGAAATCGGAGGTGATGCAATCGGACATTCGCTGTATATCAATCGGTTGGAAAAGCGGAGCTTTATGCCATATTGTAAAATTATAACATGAATAGGGGCTTACAATCATATTTTTATCGTATTTATAAACCGATGATGATTTCAATAAATTGATGAACGTCAAAGAATAATTGCAGCCTTTGGCGGTTGACATCGCAATCTGTAAACATAGAAAACTACTAGATTCATACGATTTTAATGGCTCTAGTCCGGTCCGTTTAGACAATGGAATATAGAAATTTTGAATCTTTTCGAAAATGTTTATTTTCACGCTTAAAAAAGGACAATGGTATTCGGCGTGATCCTATATTCGATGAAGCGACCAACATAAAGCCGAAAATGGCACGTTTTTGACGTTCCGCTTGCACGCGCTCGCTTTCGTAATACGATCGTGTCTACAATACCCCGCCTAACAGGAATCCGGGGATCTGGAGGGGAAATTCAAAATTGAAACGTCAAACTAAAAATGTGTGCATATCTTTGAATTTTCTAATCTGCCGAGTTTAAAAAATGCGATCGGGTAACGTGTCGTATGTCGGTTTAATCAGGAGACTTTGGTCTGTCGTTTTGCGAAAAAAAATCGTAGCTACGTCGCTCCGTAACGCAGGTGCGTATCGACGAAGACAAAGTACGCCGAAAAACGGTTGTCATCGGTACTTTTGAGGCGCTCAAAGTTTACTTTTTCGAAATTTGACGGTAATTCTGACGGTCAGAATCGTTTCGTCAGCTCATTATCGTTATTTTTCGATAGCTGTATAATTTTTACTCGCTCACGTACGGTAGTAATAAGCGAGGACAGAGCCGGATGACAAGGTGACTTTTTCACGCGTCGAAAAGTAGCGTATTGTCGAGGAATTTTTAAAAAATCGAAACTTTTCAACGTAAACGAATAATAATGATGAAAATAGTATTAAAAGAGTGTCCGAAGCATGGACTTTCGCACGCAAAAATCGTCAGGTTCGTAGCTCCTTTATCTTCGGAGGAGATAGCTGATATACGGCGAAGCAGCGCGCTTTATGCGCAAAAAAGTCATTCTTGACGACGTTCGAGGTTCGTTTACTCGAAACGGGTACCGTAAACGAAAAAACGTCTCTCCGCGTAATTTGTAGCGCTCGCCGAGATGTACGAAACGCGGCACGCGAAATTCCTTTTCTCTTCGGCATAAGGGAGATATCGTAGTTTTCAAGGCGATTCGTCATTTTTGTCGCTTTTTTTTCGAACATTTCTAGAAAAAAAACCGAGACGCGGAACCGAACAGATTTAGCTTATCGGTACGTATTTCTCGTTTAGCTATCGAACGAAACCGATCTCGAGTTGATATTTCGATAAACGGCGAAACGAGTGTGAAATAACGCCGCGTACCGTCCGAAAAACGGTCGATTTTTCGACTTTACCGGCCGTTTTCGATCCGATCCGTTCCTCTCGCCGCGACGGCTCTCGCTCCCCCGTAAAGCGCCGAGTTTCTACTTTCCGAAACGGTACCTCTTTCCTTCCGGACGTTTCGCGAACCTCCTAAAAAACCGCGAAAACCGCGTCGACGTCGCACGGCCTGACTCTAACGTCACGTGGTCTTCTAAGAAAAAACAATCGATCACCGCTTAATATAGTCGATATTCCACAGTAGAAAGAGTTGAAATTATCGAAATATTTTTCGGAAATAATCAGTGCGCTGATAGAACAGCAGAAATATTTAATGAGCGACATGAGAACAGTAACGTGCATCGAAAATATGTTCTAGAACTTGTAGCTAAATTTCGGGAAACTGGGTCAGTCGCCAATAAAAAACCCAACATTGAAAATCCCATAAGGAACGAAGCAATACAAGTGGGGGATTAAGGGCAAGTTTATGTAGATCCTACGTTAAGTTCCCCCAAACTGGAGACTATGTGTGGTGTTAGTCGACGTACTGTCCAACGGATTCTAAAGGCCCATAGTTTTCATCCGTATAAAATTCACCTGGTACAAGAACTTAATGAAGACGATTTTGATCGGCGATTACAATTTTGTGAAGATGTTAGTGAACGAATTATAAACGATGAACATTTTCTATTCAACACTTGCTTTTCCGACGAATGCTCCTTTTTCTTAAATATCGTAGTAAATCGTCATAACTGCCGATATTGGTCCGATTCTAATCCCAGAATTTATCATGAGGTTCATACACAGCAGCCACAAAAATTAAATGTTTGGGCTGGTATTTTTGGCGATCATTTAGTTGGTCCTTTTTTCTTACCTGGATATTTGACCGGTGAAATGTATTTGGAAGACTCCATAGATCCTGCATTAACAGCCATCATTGAAAATCAGAATGATCGGCGGTACATTGCGAATAGGTTGATGTTCCAACAGGATGGTGCCCCACCACATTACGCATTACGTGCTCGACAATATTTAGATCAGACGTTTCCGGATCGATGGATTGGTAGAGGAGGTGCCATTGAATGGATCCCAAGATCGCCAGATTTATCACCTTTGGATTTCTTTATGTAGGGTCATTTAAAAAGCAAAATCTATGCTACTCAGCCAACATCATTAGAAGATCTGCGACAAAGAATTGTGAATGAGTGCCTTCAAATTGCTCCTCAAATATTGCAAAATGTGCGGCAACGTTTTCACCAAAATCTTTATTATTGCATGGAGAGTCATGGTGGCCATTTTCAACATTTACTTGGCTAACGGGTCAGTTCATTCTCCATTTTTAAATTACTTTGCTGCCAAATGTATTGATCTCCATAAATGATGATGTATTAGTTTTATTTAAGCTTTAAATCAATAAATCTTCAAAACTACTGAACTGAAGTACATTAATTTTATATAATTATAATGGGAATTGAAAGACCTTTAAAATAAATCACTCGACCCCCCTTTCCATTTAAGATTTTGGGGGTGGTGTCACCCCCGCTTAGGGGGCTGCACGTGCTAACGTGATTTTTTGCCTAACTTGTGTCCCCCTCGAAAACAAAATCGACAGGTCCGAGCGTTTTTCAAAAAAAACTGAGCTGCCAGTAAATGCGTCTGTTTCGTTTTCGATGCGCCACCCTGTATGTGCACTTAAGAATGTGATGACACTGCAGTGCAAATCAAAATTGGCTGTTGAGAATCTGGCCTCAGCTGAAGCTAAACATTTTGAAAAGAGAAATAGCTAAACGTGGATCCCTGCTTCCACGTGCTTCCTCTACTGGTAGGGCAGGTAATGAATGTCTTAAGGACTTATTGTATGTACCTATTTGAATGACTTTTTTCTCAGAGGGTCCAGGGTTGTGCTGGAGACAATCCTTTATGAACTGATAACAGCGTTGCGCGGGAAATGCAAAGTCAACCAACTTGACGCTTTTTTTTTCAAATGGCATTTAAGAAAGCTAGAAGGGGGCCAATTTACAGTGGGTCTAAGGGTTACTGCTGGAACTGATTTCTGGCCACAACACATTGAGACGCCGCCTACACAATCATGACGGAGTGCCATGACTAAGGTCTGGACTTTTCTGTAGTATAAAACTGCAAAATATGTTTTTTTATGCTGTAAAAAAAGAAGAAATATGGATTTTATATGAGAAAAAACTGAAACATAAATCTGCGAACACAAAAAAAAGACGCTTATATATACAGGGTGACTTCGAAGTTGAGTCATTTATTTTAACAGTGAGTAGATCTGATCAAAAGAAATGTTTTTTTCCTTTACCATTTTTCTGGTAAAATTAAAGTAACAAAGTTATAGCCCTTTGGAAGTTTGAGTACCGCCCTGTCTCAATAATAATTTCATGTGCTCGTGTTTGGCAACAACGGATATAATCCGCCTTATCGGTTCATCGCATCGGAAACAAAAAAGCGAAAGAATTTGGAACGATGTTTTTACAACTATTTTATTCAGTTGTATACATACAGTCAGTGTCAGTCGGTAACGCGTGTGAATAGTGATGTCTGTTGCGTGGCTCAAACGAAATAAAAAATGGCACATGTTTATGCGGATCGGTTTCCCAATCGAGTGCAACCAACCCCTCGTGCCTTTGTTAATGTAGTACAACGGGCTCGTGAATCAGGTGACTTAAGACCTCACAGGGGACCTCACGATCAAATACAGGTCCGCACTGAAATACTTGTCGGGAGGATACTTTATAAAACAAGGTAAACATTTTTATAATTTTTATTTTATTTTTACACCCATATTTTGGTTTATCTTCCTTCTACAATCATTATCTGAAAATTAATGACTCAACTTCAAAGTCACCCTGTATATATATATATATATATATTATGTTCAATATAATAAAAATTATAATATCATATTAAATAATATTAAACTAAAAGTCAACATAACAAAATAGGTTTTTCTGTAATGAACAGTACAATACTAATTGAAAATAACACACACAAAAAGTTAAACATTAGGGTTGTAGTATAAAACTAATAACTGGTTAATACTATCCATGCTTAAATGATGGCGTTTGTCTATTAATAAATTTTTAAAAGCCGAATATGGTGTGATCGGCGCAAATTTCAAGGAAGCTATGTCTGAAGGCTTCATTTTAATATCCGGATCACTTTGGCTCTGTAATCTCAAAATGTAACAAACATTTTTTATTTGTTGGTATCCAGGATTGCGAAATAAAACACTTTCTCATTTAACCCTAACTTTGTTTCCAATTTCTTCAGGAATAAGACTTAGTTCTTCAATCACCTTTTCTATGATTCTGAAAGATTCGTTTAATGATAACTGGGTATTTTTCAGCTCCATTATTACTTTTGCTAGCATGAAAAAATGAACTTTAATAAAGGCTAAGTCTTCTAAAATGTTTGACTCTAGTATCGATTTCCTACAAGATCTAAGTGCTATAGAATCAGCGTCAAGCAAAAGAAAAATTTCTTTGATTTTTACGAAATTATCTGCATAAAACAAGGCAGCATTGAGCCATGTACCCCATCTTGTAATAACAGGCTCAGGTGGTAAGGGCAAGCCAGGAGCCATTTCTTTGTAAAATTCTACCCTTAAGGGAGCTTTTAAAAAGACCTTTTTTCCGTTATTAGTTAAATTATTAACAGAAGGATATTCTGCACGTACTAATTCGGCTAATCTATTGAATGCATGAGCCATACAGGTGCAATGTATTAATTCCGGGTAAAATACCAGTAAAGCTTTTCCAGCTTTGATCATATAAGCGTTTTTTCTAAGGCTTAATCAAATAAGACACTGGAGGGGTAGAGTCGTTTAAAATACCAACAAGTTTTTTTTTCAACAAAGCGACCACGTGCATCTGTTGTTTCGTCAATTTGAATATAAATATTTGTGGTGCATAACTTTTCCCTAATATTTTCTAAACGTACCTGGTAACATTTCTTCAAATAGTTTTTGCGCAATGTGGATTCATTTGGGATATGGCGGTTACAATATTTTTCAAAAAATTTACGGAACGCCGGTTGTTCTAATTTATTCCATGGTATGGTTGATTGTGCCATGGAGTTGCATAAAATTCATTTTTAGAATCCTGGTTTTGTTGGGAGCTGCCACATAACGCAGTTGAAACAAACGTATGTTGTACTTTCCCGTTAAATCGCTTCTCCACTTCCTTGTGAATGGCTGTAGCAAGGTGTTGATCGATCTGAAATTTCTGGTTTGAGGATACCTAAAATCAAACGAGTTCTTAAAAAAACTTTAAAGAAACCTCGAAATAATGAATATTTACAATAATAGCTCCGTAAATAATGAAAGATTAATTAATTATTATACTAATACATATACTCACTTGCTTTGAACAGGCGTTACAGTATACAACTGTTCCATCAGTGGATAAATGTTTAGCATTCTTTATCCATTTCTTAAGTAAATCAGCTTTAGAGCTTGATACTTTCGGCATGGCGATCTTTTTAAATATTAAACGGCAGCGAAGTATAATACGTGCTTTCTAAATAAAGATTGCGACAGGTGCACGGCACGGCGCCAAGTTATTAATCGGCGAATCACCGATATGCTTTGAGGGAATCACCGATATGCTTTGTAGTCTTTATAATTTGTGCACCGTTGTCAGATTTACATAACAATGAGTAATAATAAATGTGTTTAATCTGAATAAAAAAAAGAATGCCATTTTATGTTTTTTAAAGCGAATGTCTTTGAGTATGGATTACATGTAGAAAAAATCTAAAATATTATGTTATATGTTTTTATCCGAAAAAACCCTAAAATATTAAGTTATATGTAAAAATATGTAAATACATATAAATCCGGTCTTTAGCCATGACCAATCCTCCTCATGACTGATTTTTGAGGGCCAAAATATATTTGTACAAAGACTGTGAGCAGTCTAGGCACCGGTACATCTTGTTCGCTGGAATATGTCTAGTTCACTTAATTCATGGGTCAGTTATATTGTGGACATTCTTGAAACGCGTGGAACAGCTTTCCAGCCGTCTTAAGGTTGATTCTTACTATACCGTTTCCATTCCGTAACCGTTCCGTAAATTATTGAAATAAAAAATTCGCCTTCGCTTAAAGCAGGTTATTGCGTGTGTATGCACATTATCCGTAAGGAATACTGTGTATACAATCACATTGTACGGAACGATTACGAAACTGATATGGAATGGAAACGGAATGTGTAGTGAGAATCAACCTTTATCCTGCCACTACTTCTGTGCGGAACGCTACCTAGAAATTCATAACTACAGGTTGACAATGAGTAGTTCTTTTTACTGTCTTGAACCTTCCTTGTGGATTGTTTTTGGTAATCAAAAGGATCTATTTTTAAGCATTGCCTTGAAGCATATTTAGGGTATATAATTCGTGCCTCGGGGTATGGACAAAAAACCGTATAATAGCATTCCTCATTCCTTCTGTTAACTGCGCCCGTGACAGACTGGAGTGGGTGTGTAATACAAAGCAGCACATGCACTAGCGGAGGCTCGAATGGTTCTGAGAGGAGGAGAGGATTCAAGCCTGGAAACGGGATAGATGCTCTATAATGCGATGCTACGGATGCGGAATTAAGTGCAGGTGAAATTGGATGATCGAGTTTATATACAGGATGATCCGTTTACACTCTGATTGGATATGTGCAACTCGCTTTGGGCGAAATCGGTAGGTAGCAGCGATGAATCGAACATTTCTGCTCATTTGTAATCAGATACGAAGAGGAACTGGCTAAATAGTGAGATGAGGTGAACATCATATCAATTCTTAATTCTATTCGTGTATATTTCAAGACGAATCGTGTAGAAATCATCAAAAAGTAGTTTCTACGATCTGAATTGCCTCCGAATAATGGTGTACTGGGTTCAGGTAACGAAGTTGGAAATCATCCGTCAAAACTAAGGGCCGTATCGTCAATCGTTCCTACAACATTGTAGGACGCTTTTATGGTATCCTTGATTTGCATAGTTTTCTACCGTGTCAGCGGTCTATTTTGAGGTTATGTTATCAATATCTATTTGCATCAAATTGTTTATGCTTTTGATTATATAACCTGAAATTTCCCACAATTCAAAGAGACAGCGTAGCCTGATCGCTCTCAACTGGTGCTCGGATTTCGCTCTGGTGTCAATTACGTCTATAGGCTTCATGCCTAAGAAAAAACTATCTTTCTGATGATATGTTTAATGGCATGATGAACCTAGGATCATATGATTTTGCCAGAAACGGATGAGCTCACAGAGATGCTTGATAAAAGCGTCAAAAGCTGTTAGAATTTTTAATCATTCTCTAGGAGGTCAATTCTCGAACTCTAGAAAAGGATCTTAAAGAATTCTGTCTAGGGAATGATCTGAAGGCTTGCCCGCTGTTGACGTTGGTCGAACAAGTTTTTGGGCACACCTGTTTTCACACATAAGAAAAAATGGCGTCAAATAGGTTGCCTCTGCACTTCCCATGCGACAGCAGTTCATAAAGGATGTTCAGCATAAGTTAGACCCCCTGGGTAAGAATATAGTTACGAACATGTACAACAGAAAAATTAAATGGCTCAAGTTGGTTAGAAAGGCACATACAATTATTGAGATGACCTTTCTCTACCATACCGGTAGTACTGTCTATCTAACTATGTCGTCCCTTTCGCATCTGGTCGGCACAACGCGATAGCGGGGCAGAGACGCCTAATGCGTCACTCTAAATTTTAAGGGCAAGTGTACGGAGAAGCCTGTAAGGTGTGAAATATGTAAGTATATAAATATAATACCATCAGAAAATTGAGAGATACCCTCTCCAACGCCTTACACCTCCAACCAGCAGTTTTTAATTCCTACAAAAATATTGCTGAATATGATCAGTAGTTCCTGAAATTTCTTGTTTTACCACCAGTTCCGCCGTCACTGGACGGACTTTCAAAAACTACAAGCCTTTTTCGTCCTTCGCATAGCAGTAACCTCATGTAGAAAATTCATCAGAATCCGAGCGATACTTCCCAAGTTATAGACGGGTCAATAATTAGACAGGCAGAACAAAATGGGTGACATGGTTCAAGAGCATAAGTGTATATGAAATTATGCCTTTGATTTAAGGTCACAGGTACTTGAAATGAGGTAACTCCATTGTTTCAAAGAAATATAGCTCTTTGAATTAAGAAATGGACCTTAGCTCAAAGAAATATGTCTTAGAAACATATAAAAGTCACGATCCTTGATTTAAAATAGTTACCTCTTGCACTACTTTGTGATGACTTCGTATTTAGAGATAAGACTGATTAAGGCGATACTTTCACACTCTTTCTCCCGATAATGACTCGACAAGCGAGTGTTGTCAATAACACAGTTGCCTGAAAGGTAAAATAACCATGCTCAAAGCCTAATTTCATGATTGAGCTTGCAGATTGAACAGGCACATGCCTTCGAGGTGATCCTATATGGGAATAGAAACTGCCTACTCCAAGCATTCCGGGAGGATGAAACGTCATTCCACTTTCCAGGCTGGTTATATCGCGTTAGCAGTAGTGTATGATATGTTCTGCTACTCTCTCTTTTTGCTATCGGACTGAACTACTAGAGTAAATATTACCCAACTGCTATTAGTCTAATACTTTTGCACACATCCTGGTGGGGAATTTGCTTTGCAACTAGCATGCTAACTGCTACCTAACTAGCAGTTATGATTGTCTATCAAAGATTAACCTGGGGGATCCTCCAGTTGATTTCTTTTAGATGTAGCATACCGTTGCTAGAGCTGTATACGTCTCCTAGATTTCTAGAACTGCCAGGTACAGCTTTAATTTATAATAGCCCAATCATATTAGACGAAAATACCCTTGGTTTGCAAAGTAATTGTAAAGTCTGATTTTATTGTTGAAGGGGGAATTTAAAACTTAAACGCATAAAATGAGTACACCAATATTTGTGAGAAAACTTTTTATTCGACGACACAGAATGAGAAAACGTGTTTTTTGGGATTCAATCGAAAGTGTTGACAGGAATGGAAACACTCTTCAAATAAGATTTTTAGGCATTTATGAGACCTACAGAATGAGACTATATTTAAAAAACCCACTAATAATAAAAAAGTTATGGCCAAAAACCGAGGCAAAATGCAGGTTTTGGCACTTGTTCCTAATTCGACGATAATTTCATGCAGCCACTTGAAATTCTTCAAGTCTGAATAAAAGTTAAAAAACATTTACTTCTCCAAATTCTGAAAAAAAAAATTAACAGAAAAAACGAGCTTCGTGGAGTCGAACCTCCGTTCTGCAATCGTTAACCCTTCCCATTACGCTACGATGTCTCTTGGTTTACTGGATCCTTGACACTGACTTGATACTGACAAATGTCAAGCGAACGTTGGAGCCACATCAAATCTGTTATAAACAATTATTACATTACTCTTAAAAACCATTCAAGGTACAATGCTGAATCTGTAAATAATGTATTAGAGACTAATACCGAGCATTTTGCCTAATTTTTAAGACGGCCAGTACGCTACAATTTATTGATATTTGTTTACTGGTTTTCCGTTTTCTCGAGTTTATTTTCCAACATTTTGAACTCGCAGTCATTTTAATCGTACGAGATTTTGAAAACAGACTTATACTATATTAATGCTTTTAGAAAAATAGTCTAGGGAAGTATACTTTATCTTCATATTTGACAAAGTCATGCAGTCATCAATAATGCAGCCATTTGGCACATGCTACATACTAACTTTCCTAAGACTGTTTGAAACATAGTCGTACCTTCAGTTAGCGTGCTAACTTTATAAATAGTTCAGCGCAATTCAGTATGAAATATTTTTTTCATATACTTAAAGGCTCATCTGTGACCGTGTAAAAATTTTAACTCAAAATAGGGTATGGAGAAATCTTGAAAAAAAATGTTTTCTTCGCAACAAAAGGTGATGGACCCATCCGCTTTGTTTTAAAATGTGTCCGAGTATAATAACGAATGTTTTTCGAATATCGTAGCGAATCTGTTCAGTTACTGACAAATACGAAATGTTTGAATTTGTTCAGAAGGAAAAACGTAACCCTTCGTTAAAAACAATTATCTTTCGGAATGGTTTGTGATTCACATCGGCAAGGTAAATTCGTGTATGTTGCTATAAAATGTTCTTTGAATAAACACTGTATATTGCTCAGTAAACTAGTAGTGATGGCCGAAAGACAGATATTTTGGGACAAGCAAATGGAAATTCTCAAAAATTACTTGATAAATCGACTCGAAATTTTGTTGTGGTTTTAAATTTATTCAACGTAAGACCGTATGATTAAAGCTGTCCAATTCTTTAGTTTTTAATTAGATGATAACTGGATAATGAAACGCATAACTCGGCATCTTGTCTGCAAGTGCTACAACTGAGGAACCAAGCTGAAGAATTTAATGACTAAGAAGCGGTGCGACAGGTCGCATAAAAAACTTAAAAAATAGATTGAGAAGTTTGGACTACCAAATTTTGAAGAAACGTCAGTGGAGGAAATAGAAAAGGATCGTAAGTGAATATGAGAATATGA